TCATTACTAGTACTTATTCATTCGCTTTCTAATTTTTTCGTAATTGAAAACAAAATAAAAATAATAAATATCACATCTTGATTCGAGACTTGTGATACAATTGTAGAATTCAAATGCTGATAAAATGATAAATTTCGAAAATTATGACAACTTTCGAGAAAACACAAACAGGTTCATTTTCAAAATGAACGATGTGACACAAACAAAAAAATTCATGACGTAATCATTGTGACTGCATAACATTACGCGGGAAAAATTAAACCGTAAATAAAAAAAACAAATTTAAAATGATTAAAAAATGCAAGTTCAATTCTATCCAGATCTTAAAGCTTTACTCGGAGTACGCCTTTCGCGTACATAATGCACTTATTTCAATATAACACATAAAACAAACAAATATCCTTTATATCTTAATATATCAAATTATCTTATACATCAAATCAAAATGTTGTCCGACAAGCTGCATTTATATAAAGTTTGGTACCTGAATAAGACATTTGATTATAGAAAAAAGTAATTAAAAATAACTTTTTTTTACCTTAAAACCAGATTAATGTTTAATTGTATCGACATTTATTAAGTTTTTATTATGTGTTCAACACGAAATTAACCTCAATATATAATCAATCACGAACAAATGTTTTTGCTATATTTACAACATAATGAATAATTCATTGTATCATTATTCTTATCCATACAAAGATTACAATATACTTGTCTAGCGTCCTAAGTACCAGTATTGTCCCATCTGAAAAGAAAAAAACAATATGCCATTCTGTAATTTATTCACAAGGTACAAATCAAAATCAATATGAAATTTTCTATAAAATTGCAGCATACAATAAGTATCAAATCTTTACTACACTTTCTTATCAGTAATCTATAACACATGATAAATTACATTGTTAATAAAAATAGATAAATATTAGCCAGTAAATCTTGTTGACTCTAAATATCTTGTGTACTCATACCCAAATGAACATGCCAACGACCTTTTTGTGATTTTTCTGTACGAAATCTGCTGAACTCATAGTATTTTTACAATAGGTTTAGCTCTTAAATTTGGTTTGCAAATCATGGTCTGGCAACTACATAATAAGGTTAAGAAACAGACGCTTGTTTTGGTTGAGCTATTATGTTTTGTTTGGTGGATGAGTTGTCATACACAAATTTACAATTGATATGGATTAATTATTTTGCAACTGTTTGTATTATTTTAAATGCTTCTTGGATTTTTTTATCAATTTATTTGTAATCCAAAATTGTTGTATGTCCAATTTAAGGCATAATTTTAATGAAAATTAAATTAGTTCACACCTTACTTGTATTGACGGTGTAAGGCAATGAAAAAAACATCAACATACAGTAACGCAGAGAAAAGGTTTGCAAAGATTAAATCGATTATACAAGTATTAATTTGATAATTAAAATATCTTCGGCAGAAGAAATTGTCCCAGAAGGGCCATGCATTTTTGTATCGTAAAATTGCTGCCGTTTACAGTAATACGTGATTATCCAAAGCATAAACGCGACTTAGCGCGGGGATTATAAATATAGCTAACCTGGGCGCGTCTGCGTCAGATAGGAAATACCTTTTTATATTATTTACAAACCGTATCTTTGCGTTTTACTTGATTAATCGATAATAAATAATAAATGATAATTTTATTAATAAATAATCATTTTTCAAATCGGTGACAATGATGGTGTTTTAGCTCCAACAGTACCACCAAGGTCTGATGAAGAGCAATTGAGAACCAGACTAAAAGCTTAAGAGAAGTTCTTTTGCAAATAGAGCCAGGTACTTTATCTTAAAGCAATTCTATGTTTTCATAAAACCTGGACGTGACTTTGGATTCTTTCATGTTAGGAAGCTATCCAGCTAGCGAACGGAACTTAGGTGGCTCTACTAAGGTGCCTGTTTGTGCCTGAAATAATGCAAAGAAGGTCACCTGAGGTCTTCCTCCACCAGTAAAGCGGGACAATCGCCCTATGACCTATACTGTGTTGGTGCAACGCAAAACCAAACGAAAATAAATAATATTTGTTTTCATACATATACTTTAATTTTTGTGTAACGAAGATGTGTAATTTTGTGATATTTCTATTTCTGAGGGTTTGCACGATGTTCATATGTTCTTTTCAGTTGAATATGTGTATTTTTTAATTATGTTTTAAATCAGTAAATTGACCGTGCATTGATTTTTTATATTTTAATTTCCTTGAAATCATTCTCATCTGAAGGCATGCAACTATAATATATTGATACATTAATAACATTCTGTGAAAATGTAAAAAAAAACAAAATATCGAATGACATGTTTGTTCATTTTACATTTAACCTTTCGTAAAGCAAGAATAAAAAGTCTTCACAGAAGTTAGTATGCAGTCGTACCTATGTTACATGCGAATGGATGTAATATTTTTCTTGTTGACTACACCTATGCGATTTTGAAAAATGAAAGACGCGGATTGAGAACATTTAGATAAATAAATGCCCTGCTTTGTTTCAATTGTTACGTGAGAGAACTGGTTAAATGGATTACAATGGAACTTTTTATGTTAAAGTATGATGATGAATCTAAATTTGTTTTCAATTTAGATCATTTGTCACATACTTTTCAATAAACTTACTTTACATGGTTACAATTTTATTATCGTGTATCATGACACAAACTATATTAGCAGTATTTCATTTAAATTTGAATAGTCGGAAAATTAACCGAAAAAAAAGCAACAAATAAATATGTTGACCTGGATTAAGGGCTTTTCTGCATCGGAGTTTGACCTACCATTCTGTTCTTCATTTGTATTTCCATTGGGCGACTTTTGTCTTTGCTTACGTATTAATCTAAATGAAAACATTTATAGAGTTGTAATTAACAAAATGATGTAAAGATTTTATATTGCACAAAACAAGCCAACCTAAAATAAAGTAACAGTTTTTCATAATTTTATGTAAATGTAGCTTTGTTTTCTTATATTCATGCCTGCATACTAAGACAGTGTCAACAGTGATTTTCGCCTTAAGGTACATTTAAGACACAAAGCAGTAAGTATTTCTTAAAAGACAAGTAGGTTTACTCATGATAATTTAATTTTACACCGTATATAAAAAGTAAGCAATGTGTTATAAACACTAGAATAGTTTCTTGTAAAAATAAACTTTATTTAAATACTGAGAACAAACATAAAGCTATATGTTAGTACGGTAGCCAAAGCATAAATGTGTGCAATCTATGCATCCAAAGATAAACAAATACAAAGATTTACAAACTGATTTTTCAAGATGATGTCAATGTTGCGGACATTTTATGACAGACATATGTTCTCAGTAAACAGTAGTTATTAATTGCTTGTTTGAAACATTTTGCAAGTAGTAATTATTTGCCAACAGTACATGTATTAAATTGAGGCATCTTTCATATCACTAACTTTACTTGTTAAAGGGCCCAATGAATTGTACATAATTTAGTTATTCCCTGAAAATTTTACATTGCCCACTGAAAAAAGGGCTTTGCAAAAAAAAAAAAAAACAACAACAACAGAAGAACAACAACCTACCAGCCTTTGGTCATTGTCAAAATATTCATTTTTATTTATTAAAAAAAAAAAAACACAAATGTCCACCATTTTGTATTTTGTAGCGTTCTATCCTGTTCGCACATTGTGTATCTATATGAAATGAATTTGGACAAAAAATAAAAGAAGAAAAAAATTGTTTTGAAAGAAGCTTCAAATATTGCCAGAAAGCTTATTTTCAGCAAGTCTCCTTGTTGGTGAAAAGGTCCAATGAAGGAACCAAATAAAGCAGCAAGTCTAGAAATCGGTCGGCTTTCTAGTGAAGAGTTGAGCCTTATCAACGGTCCACTTCCAAGAAAAGAAGCAAGTCTTAGAACGGTCCACGTCCCAGAAAAGAACCAAGTCTAAGGAGCACAGCAAGTCTTATAGAGCAGGAAGTATAATATTGCAGCAAGTCGAAGGAGTGCAGCAAGTCTAAGAAGCGTAGCTAGTCCAATAGAGCAGCAAGTCAAAAAGTGCAGCAAGTCCAATAGAAAAAAATAATATTTTGAAAAACTGTACGTGTTGTTGTTGTTTAAACGTGAAGAGTTGAGCCTTAGCAACGGTCCACTTCCCAGAAAAGAAGCAAGTCTAAGAACGGTTTGCTTCCCAGAAAAGAAGCAAGTCTTAGAACGGTCCACGTCCCAGAAAAGAAGCAAGTCTAAGGAGCACAGCAAGTCTTATAGTGCAGCAAGTATAATATTGCAGCAAGTCGAAGGAGTGCAGCAAGTCTTAGAAGCGTAGCTAGTCCAACAGTGCAGCAAGTCAAAAAGTGTAGCAAGTCCAAGGAGTGCAGCAAGTCTTAGAAACGTAACTAGTCCAATAGTGCAGCAAGTCTAAAAGTGAAGCAAGTCCAATAGTGCATCAAGTCCAATACTGCAGGAAGTCCAATACTGCAGCAAGTCTTAGCTCTGCAGCAAGTCCAAGGAGTGAAGCAATTCTTAACTTATAATAATAAAAACAGAAATAATAATATTTTGAAAAACTATACGTGTTGTTGCTGTTTAAACGTCGTTTTAACTTATAATCACAAATAACGCTCGGAATATTGGTATAATTCTCATAAGTGAAAACATATGTAGTTAAAGATAATCAATAAAAGAATATTGTAAGCAAAAAAGTATTAGATCATCTGATCCCTGCCATATCAGATGGCATGTATGTTGAACGTGTTTCATTTGTACATATGTCCTAGTACTGTTTGGCCTATTTGGCTCCCTTACTCGACAAATAGACAGTATATAATTATTTGATGTGAATTATTGCATTTAGACTTTGACAGCATAAACAGATTTTGAATGTTAAAGAATTAAAATTTCAAGATTGTTAATTGGTAAGGAAATAAACTGCCCAGTTTTTAATAAGATAGGAAGCACCTTATTTTAAACTTGTGTTCTATTTCGAAATTATTTGGAAGAGTACAAACTAAAAACCTAACTTTACCTGTATATGGGTAAGATGCAAAGTATAGTCGCAGCTGCAAGTAAAAAACCTCCCACATAATATTTTGTTTTAATAGATGCGCTTCCGGGATTTAAATGTTCTTCATCAGCGGAGAGAATTGGTAGGTCGTCTTTCGTAATAATGAAATGAAAAAATAGAACAATATTCAATCGTTAATATATTTCAGGTCAATGCTAGTTTTATCTGATTTTAAAGGCGTAAAATTTGCCTCAAAGAGCTTACATTTGAAACATTAGGCACAACTTGACAAATTGACTATATATCTAACAGAAACTGTGATGTGCTAAGGAAACAAGGGTGAGCAGTATTTTGTTATTTGAACTTTGACCCCTAAATATGACATTGACCTTTACCAGAGACACCAGAATTTTTCGCGCTACACTCCGCCTTAATATTGAGAACATTTGTCCCGTATTATATTAAAATCCATCCTTCATGATGAAGTTATGCTCCTGACACGGGTTTTTTTTGCGCTGACCCCTAAGTGTGACCTTTACACACCATCCTATCATGGTGAACAGTTGTACTAAATTATGTTGTAATTCTTCAAGGAATGAGTAAGATGCAGGGCTAACAAACACATTTTAATATTTTATTTGACCTTTGATCCCTTTTGACCTTAATTTTTATCTTGCGCGAGACAACTAAACTCGATAGGAAAATATTTATGCTAAGTTATATTAGAATCCATCAATGTATATAGAAGTTATACTCGTAAATGAATGTTTCATTTTGTTATTTGAGCTTCGACCCTTAAGTGTGCCCTTGGCCTTTACGCCTGAATTATTTGCCTCGCTATGGATAACATTTGACCCCAGTTATATTAAAATCCCTTCATGCACGTTGAAGTTACGCCTAGGACACGTGTTTTGCGCTGACCCCAAAGTGTGACATTGACCTTTCAGAGGCGGACCTGGGTTTTGGGTGCGACACATCATCCCATCATGGTGAATATTTGTACCAAATTATTTTGTAAACCTTCAAGAAATGAGAAAGATATAGACCGAGCGCATGCACGGACGCACTTACATCGAAGTATACGCCAAAGGTGGCGACTATGTCAAGCCCACCGCAAGCAGGCTCGACAAAAAAGAGTTTAAAAAAGTTTTATTTTGTCTTGTTGTTGTCCAAAATAATTAGAAATTAATACAAAGCAGAGTAGTGTTGGTAGGTAATAATCAGCCCGCAAAATGAATAAGTTCTCATAATAAAATCAAGGGGTAAGTGTTTAAAATATACTTTACTTTTACAGCTACTTGTTTTCATGACGTAAAATATGACATCATTGTTTCAGTCGGTGCACCTTCTTTTGCTCAGCGGTCCGATTATGATTACATGTATTTATTAAATGCTTTTGAGTGGATAACTGAATTATCCGTGAAAAATATATTTGATAATTAATTTTACAGTGAAATAAAAGAAAATGTGTTTTTTGTGTACATCTCGTGAACTTTAAAAACAGTATCCCTACGAGTGGCGGAGGGTTATAATCGGCAAAATGGTTCGAGGGCTTCAGTTAAAACTCTTATCTAGAACTACAAGGCCTCATGCACTTTTTAAAACTATTGAGGTTATTACATTTCAGGATTATTCAAAGTTTTTTTCCAAGCACAGGGTTGAACCTAGCCTGGGATTCAGGCGTTGATTTTTTTGCGTGTTTTGATTGTTTGTCGATTTGCCGAACAGAAGCACATAAAAAATCGACAGACTGGAACCCAGGCTATGTTGAACCCCATAGGGATCTCAAACTTGAACAATAGTTAAAAAAAGATAATTATGTGAATTTCTGCTAACCCAGAATGTGCAGTATAAAACCATCTTTGAAAGCAAAAATAGGGCAGCAATGGGATAAATTTACAAATTTCAAACATTTATATAAAATTCAAAGAAAATGACACTACACAGACACAAAATACAAAACCCCATATTGAAACATATCAAAATAAAGGAATTGCTAGTCAAAATGTCAGTCGAGCTTCAGATCCATAGGTGAATAGAAAACCATCTACAAAACTACAGATCACTTTTCTATAAACATTAAATAGCCAATCTTAAGGAACAATTAAGGTTTTGTAGCTTTTGCCAAAAGTTCATTAGTCAGTGTGTTTGGTAATTAAATATCACTTCATCAACTTTATGCTAGCAATAGCAATACTAAAAATACCAAGTACATACAAATTTTGACACAGCGCAAAAAATAAGATTCCACTGGTGTAATTAACAGATTTTCACACACAAACAAAAGTATTCTATAACCTTAATCATGCAGTAAAATGCAAGTAAATTTCTTCACAAAGAAATATCTTATTCTCGTATCGAGTAAATATCGAGAAATCAAATGAATACGTGTATAAAAACGTTATACGACTATACCCCCAGCAGAGCTATTCAAAAAGTATCTTCTTACGTCTGTAAGAAGACACTTTTAAATAGTCGTTACTTTCCTTGTGGGTTTAATACAGTTAAAATATAAGGTGTTCTGCTTGGACCATTTAAAGGACATAATTGACATGCTTTATGTTTTCTAAAGTCTTTCCCCGTATTTCTGTATTTTATAGACAAAGTAGCAAGATTTTACATTCTCGCTAAAAACTTTTCGCGACATTCAAAATTGAATTTGTCTTATGCTTATACTTTCTCATACTTTAATTAATCCTCGTGCGAATCAAAGGTAAAAAACTTCGCGATAAATAATCTTAATTTTGAAAAGTTTCTTTCGCGATCTGTAACTTATTTACAGTACCAGTGTCTAAAGTGAATGTTCTTCGAAAGAGAATGTTAAATCATGCTTCTTATCTATTAACAACAGCCAGTGCGCTCGACTATTCTCAGTCCTTGATAGTAAAACATGTAGAATTTTCTAAGTTCAAAGGGGCCATAGTTCTCTCAAAATTCACAATTACAATAGCTCTCCCTATTTTGCGAATGTCGAGCGTAAACAAGAAATTTAGTCAATCTTAAATCGTAACAGGCGATATTTTAACTGCCTTAAGCAGGATACCATAGACACCGACGGAAAGTTGTAGCGAACTTGATACCGCAACTCATGAGTAAATTCAGTTCATCGAGAAATGAATCAAATAAATTGGATGGCCATTTCCAGGAACATAGTTACAGGTGATTTTAACATTGGCGAAACGAACAGCTGTTCGTTGGTAGATGCTAAGACTCTACTTTTTGTATATCGTCTGACACCCTATATTAAAAAAAACATTAACATGACTTTTACTGTCCCAGCCTCCCGCCCACAAAAAAAAAAACATCGGCCATATGCATATACTACTGAACATTGGGTTAAGCTAAGCTTTTAAATAAGGAATCTTACCAAATTTGGGGTCCAATACGTTATCCATATAACATAGACGCAAAACATGTTCGGAGACGAATTCAATGTTGAATGACTTAATTAATCTCACTCATGAAGGCAGGCATTTAAACATTGTTTATCATGAATAAAAGTGAATTATATCCGATTGAAATGTGCACGAAAATTACGTGCAAATACAATTTACCTACACCTTTCACTTTCAAGCTTAAAGGCCATGTACATATTTTCTATAGTTTTATATTTTCAACGTGAACATACATTTAATTTCAGTTAGATTTATTTATAATTAAATGTGTTTATTAATTTATCTGTTCGTTACACTTAAACGTCGTATAAGTCGGATACAGTTACTCGTATTTTCTTCGAAAGTGTCTTCTTACAGACGTAAAAAAGACAGTTCACTAGGACAAACAACAATTTATCCTCGGCTTCGCCTCGGACAATTTGTTGTTTATCCTAGCAAACTCGAAGAAAATCTCGTACTGTATCCATTACGTAAATGATGAATCATGAATTTAAATCTATTTGATAATTTTGACGGAACACTGTTAGTGTTACATAATCATAAGTATTTATAATTAACACATAAACGTATTTTCTCATTTCCGTAGAAATTAACTTCTCTAGTACACTTACAAAAATGAGCAATGTGAAAATTGTTACTCTTGGTTTAATTTTGTTACAGTTAGTTTAGTTGAAATTTGCAAATGATTACAGTATTTGTTTGGGTAAATAATATAAATATCACATGGGTGAATTATAATAAAAATACTGTTTTTACGGCTTACGCCTTGGGTCACAGTATTTTCCTCGGGATGATATTTTCACTGTTACCCACAAACTCATGTGTTATTTATTTAATATATTGTTGGTTTCAGTGTTTGAAATACCGTCTGCAATCCTCTTATTATAATGATGATATGCATGTATTTCCAATTCATTCCAATCTACCCTATCCGGATTGACTTCCATTAAAAGAGCAAGAATATAAAATTAACGTTTGACGAAAATGTTGTAACTGACAGAAAAGCCTGGTTGGAATGAGAACACTATTTCTTCCAGCCATTACTTGATTTATATTTGAACAGTGCCTTTTATTTAGAAATAATGTAGCCACACTACTAGGATAGCTATTGGATATGGCCGCCTTTAACCAACGAATCTGAAGTAAAAACTTGAAATGGTTGATTCTGTATTCAATGTCATCGTGACATGATATCTTAGATTAATAAGTGTATGAGGCAATTGGTAAGACATTTGCACTGTTAAAATGCAAACAGTCAAATTGTATATAAAATTTACAATAGAAAAGTCAAGAAATTTGTAATCATCGATGGCAGCACGAATGAGAAACCCATATAGCTTCAATTTGTTATGGCCGTCTATATGCTCCAGGCAGTTGACCACCCTTTCCTTTTCACTTCACACCGTACAGGTCTAGAGTGAGTTATATTGTTCGCAGGTTGAATGATGCATGAATAATGCATTAAAATACAAGTATTCATTTATATGTAAATAAACTATGCCCCCCTCGAAGAAGAGGGGATATATTGTTTTGCTAATGTTCGTCGATCTGTCACTCCGTCGGTAGACCACACCGTTTCCGTTGATTACCTAAAAACTATTTATCACAGAGTCTTCATATTTCACATTCTTATTGATCATAACTAGTTAATGACCCCTATTGATTTTTGGGTCACTAGGTCAAGGTCACAGAAGCCTTAAATGTCACAATGGTTAGCGCTCATTATCTTGAAAAGGATTTATCACAAAGTCTATATGTTTAATATCCTGATTGTTCATAATTGGAAGATGATTCCTATTAATTTTGGGATCACTAGGTCAAAGGTCAAGGTCACAGTGGCCGTAAATCTCAGAATAGTTTCAGCTGATTTTCTTGAAAAAATTTCCTCACAAAGTCTTCATATCTCACATACTGATTGGTCATAACTATAAGATGACTTCTATTGATTTTGGGGTCACTAAGACAAAAGTCAAGGTCACGAAGGCCATAAATATAACAATGGTTTCCGCTCAATATCTTGCAAACTATTTATCACAAAGTCTTCATGTTTCAAACACGGATTGGTCATAGCTAGTAGATGACCCCAATTTATGTTGGGTTTACTTAGTCAAATGTCAAGGCCACGAGAGCCTTAAATGTCCAAATAGTTTCCGCACAAAATCTTGAAAGCCATTTATCACACAGCATTCATATTTCACATACTAATAATTTGTAAATGGCCCTACTGATTTTGGGTTCACTAGGTAAAGGGTCAATGTCACAGGGACCTTAAAAGTCAGAATGGTTTTCCGTTCATTATTTTGAAAACTATCACAAAGTTTTCATATTTTACATATAGATCAGTCATATGTAGTAGATGGCCCCAATTGATTTTTGGGTCACTAGTTTAAAGGTCAAGGTCACAGGGCCTTTAATGTCAGAATGGTTTTCACTTATTATCTTGAAAACGTTTTATCTCTAAGTCGTTATATCTCACATATTGATTAGTGATAATTAGTAAATGACCCTTATCTATTAAGAGGTCCTTAGGGATAAGGTTATGGTCACAGGGAACTTTATTATCAGAATGGTTTCCACTCATTATCTTCAAAAGTACTTGATATCAAGTATTTGTGTTTCACATTTCATTGATCATCACTAGTTGATGATCTTTAGGTCACTAGGTCAAAGGTCAAAGTCACAATAACATTGAATGGAAAAATGCTTTCCACTTATTCTCTTAACACCAATTAGTTACCAAGTATTCATATTTCACATATTAATTGGTTATAACTAGTAGATGACATTTATTGATTTTGGGGTCACTAGGCCACACGTCAAGGTCACAGGGGCCTTATATGTTGGAATGAATCCCGTTCATAATCTTAAAAACTATCTATCACAAATTCTTCATATTTCACATATTGATTGGTCATATCACTAGAAGATGACCTTTATCGATTTTAGAGACGATCACAGTAACCACAAATATAAAAGTCGTTTCCATTAATGACTATTGAATGGCAAGTCTCACAAATGCCAAAGTTGGTTGAACACTTCCATTCTCCCATTTTTGACAAGTTTCTAAACAAAATTACCAAAAGTATGAGTCAAGGGCTAGAAAAGGCGGCATATATGTCGTTTGACATTTCTTGTTTATAAAGCAACATGATAATGAATTAGTTAATACATAAATCATTTAATTTTTTAAAAAATCCATTTTAACTGGTGCAGTGGCTATGATATAAAAGACATTCATTTTATTCTCAAGATAGCCACATAAGAGGTTTCCTCCCAATTATTTTATAATGTTCTACTAATGGCCTACTCTGTATTGAATTCATGCAGATATTATTTGTCAGTAAAACACTATATTTTTGGCGTCCGCGCCGAACCGCGGCGCCCTTTATGGAATTAAATCAAATTTTGTGAAAGGGCGACAGCAACTTCTCGAGCCTTTTAGTCGGTTATAATAAAAGCCGATCATTCCGATCGGTCTGAGGGTGCTTGGTTATTATTTATTAAAAATGAAATGTCGCGATATGTACAATGAATAGCGAACTGGAGAATTTCGCAATGCAAACATTTTCAAATGAGTCTCTTCGTTTTTTTTTTTATTTATCATTATGTAGTACACAGTGGGTTATTATGGTATTTTAAAATAGAATGATGAGTTGATGACCTAAACATTCCGAAAATCTATTTATAGAAATGTAATCCTATCGGTAATCACGTGTATAATGATTACGTCACATGTCTAAATATAGAACGTCAAACAGTGATTTTATAGCATAATAACACACACTTTCGTTTCTTCTATGTTCACTATGTTCAAAAGGGAAAAATGCGGTTCGTGTTAGAATGATTGATAAGAGAGGGTCTTCGCTAATAGCGATAACATAATAAGGGACAATTACACAAGTGTGGTGTTGATCATGCGTTACACAATGTCATATGAATTATAAATTATTGTATACATGTATGTCAGTTGCTATTAATAATCACGATCATAAAGAAATAACAAGTAATATTCTTATCTCTGGCATGTCAATCAAAGTTCATAATGAACAATGTCTTTCGTCCGTTCATTCTGATAACCATTGAAAAGTTTATAAGAATATCTTGTCATCATATGTCTACTAGTTCATCTTCACTTTCTGCATTTCTTGCTTGGACGCCCTTTGATGCTTTGCATCAATGCTTTTCTTGTTGTTGACTGGCAAGATTAAAAGTGTATACTCTGGGCAGTGGGAGTGTTTACCTACTAAAGGTTACGCGACTGCCTTCGTCGATACAGTGTAAACGGAGTGATGCAAGAAAAGAAAATAGATTACAAATTAACATCATCAATTTTGGTTAATAACAATAAAAAGGATACGATCGTGGTTAGTATATTCCATTACGGTTATATAACTTGGTATATTATAAAGGTTATGCGCATACGAAACAGGGGGACGAATACACGAAAACACGAAAATATGACGAAGTAACTACTTTGTTGTTCTTTCGCTTTGCAGGGTCGCACGCGAAAACAAAGTTACCAGCATTATTTTGTTTTCGCCCGACGCCCCGCGGAGTGAAAATACGACATGGCACAAATCAGCCACCATAATCTAGAAGAGACGTTGGAAATACACAATATTTGACAATAAAAAATATACAAATATTCCTAATTCAATCTTCAAGATGAAAAAAACATAATCTGTCAAGTCGAAAGAGAAAAGTATACAAAAATATCAAAAACGTCTGGCCCGAGTAGGACTTAAAGTCCACCACCCCACCAGCTGAAAAAGGTGCAATAAGACAATATTACCTTGCTCTTCATCTCGGACTTTCATAATAGACTTGTATGAATAATGTGTCTCTTTGCTTTCATTCCCGTAAATTGCTGCGACTTTCAAATGGTAATTCCCATTGACGCTGGCATTCACGGCAATTATCTCTGTATAATGTACTTGCTTGTCATTTCCGCAATCAGAATCGTTTTTACAACTTAATGTTTTTCTCTCTCTGATTTTCGGGTCGATCTCTTTTTCGTTATCACTATTAACCTAAAATAAAATAAACCTTTATCAAAAAGATTTGTCGTTTATTACCAGTGTGGATTTGAAAGAATGTTAATCAGGGTTTTAAGTTTGCAAAAGTAAGGGATATAAACTTTTTACTTCGACTAAGAAATTACTTAGATCTACTTCCAAAAAGATGTTTCGCTTATCTGGATCGAAGATAACTCATGAACTCCGTTCAAGAATTGCTTCATGGCAAGATCAAGAGATTGTACAAACTAAAATATTTAAGCGGACATTTATACGTAAAAAAGTATTGTATATAAAACCTCCATAATCAAAAATACGTTACGTACATAAACAGAACGTAATCGATTGTCCGTTGTACTAAACAATGAGTTCAAATAGCCACATGTCAAGGCGATATGGAATTTAATTGCTGAACAATTTACATCCTGCTTTCTTACATTGAAAATTATAGATTCTGTGACTTTTCAGGTACGGTACACGCAAATCTATTCACATTTAATAATAACTTTGTTGTGATGTTTTAGCATATTTTCATAAAGTTAATTTGAAATCATGTGAGTTTTTTTTTATATTTTGTTTAATTATACGAAAACCCTGTGGCCTGGTTTTTCACTGTTTTATAGATAAATATATAAAAAATCTTTATAATTTACTCTTCCTGATGTTTACATTAATGCAGTGCTGTTTTAGCAGTAGTTCGCTTATCAGTTATAATGAAATGCTACGGAACACAGTGCTTTTAAAAGGGATACGGAACTCAGACACTTTAGGGAGGGATATGGAGACTGTCTAGCAATTATCAATACTTTCTTATATCAAATTTGAGCATCCATGGCAACTTTATTTTAATTAAACATGACCGTGATATTGAAATATGGTTTAAAGACAAGAAATTTTTAAGAGATCAATACATTTTAATTCAAGTAATGTAGGTCATTTTTTATCACGCCTTACCAAAACTGTCATGGTCATATGCCGACTTTCCAGTTTTTGTATTTTCTGATCGCAAGATCAGTAAATACATAGCTAACATCCACGGTCTAACACAAAATTTCCTAACAGTCCTAACAACGCAAAGTAGTTCTTACTCAAAACTGCTTAAAAACCAGCAATTTAAAAGACAGAATAATTTTTAATGTAGGCATTTAACGAATTACAGTGCATTGAAAGTTCAGATTAGTCAATAGAAATATGAGGTTACAATCACAAATTTCGCGGATGAATATCATTTTAATCAATGAAAATGCTATTTTTAGCTATGTCGATTACTGAATACTCCAGGGCGTAGTATACAAATAAATCTGACTGCCGAGTAGTGGCATATATACATGTCGGACTGTTTTGGCGAGAAGATTTTCGCTAAATTATTTTTATCAGTGTTAAACAGGTTTATCGTGAACAAAATACCTCGAAATTGATATTGTTTGGTTTTAACAACCTGTCAATTACATACTGATTACGCGGTCGATGCACACAGTATGTTAATCTTCGGTAGATGTTCGGTAAGTTCCGTGAGAAGTACGCTGTACGATAGAATTTAATTTAATTTGTATCTCTAAACTAAGTGTACTCAGCGTTATAGCGCAATAGGGTAAATCACGAGTTTATAATCTAAGTGCCACACGTGTTTTAAGTTCGAGGCCTCGTTGGTCCATGTTTTTTTTTTCTTATTTATACTTTCAACATTATTGAATCTATATATGATTATTTTATGTTGTTCGTTTTGTTTGATTATGTTTTACTTAATTTTGTTAACTTATGCATATACTCTTTTTAAATAACATGTTTTTTTTTAAGAATTCATGTTTAAAATTAAAACGGATTAAAATCAATAAATGTCATTTCAATGCCGCAAAACACACTACAAATCTGTTCTATTAAAATATACTGCAGAAATAAAGAAAGAGTACTAAAACAATGGCAACAGTAAGGATTGAACCACAGACCTCTCAATTATCAGGCATTCTCTTTACCGACTGTCCTATTGTGAATTAACGAAAACTTTCACATAAAGCTGGCGTGACTTTCAATCGATGACTTATATACTCCACATTAATTCTCGTAAACTACACGGACCAAACCGAAGTGGGATCGAATATTTAAATGAGTCCTATAATGTATTCAAAATTGACAGGTCAATAAAATCAGACTATAAGGATTACAAACACGAAATGGAAATTCTCAATTTAGAATTACAATGTATTTGTTTTTATTCAGGCTACATATTACGTATTACTTCACCGTGGTGCAGGGGTATCGCGCTCGTATCGCGCTCGTTTAGGGTGTGAGAGGCCTAAGGTTCAAATCCTAGTCGAGGCAACTTTTTTTTTGAAGTGTCTTTTTTAAGGAAGTAGCCACGATATGCAAGGATAAAGTGTGGCTGTCATAAAAAATGATTTTTGATGCAACTCTAGTCATGCAAAATTCCATATGTATCAATCTCAAACTGTTATAGAAAAAAATCTTAACGCAGTCGCTGCGTAAGATGAATTATAGTATATAACAAGAAAAGCATTGATGCAAAGCATCAAAGGGCGTCCAAGCAAGAAATGCAGCAGGTGAAGATGAACTAGTAGATATATGATGACAAGATATTCTTATAAACTTTTCAGTGGTTAATTGGTTTTTACCAGAATTGTATATCACTTATGAATGAACGGACGAAAGACATCGTTCATTATTAACTATGCTAGAGATTAGAATATTACTTGTAATTTCTTTATGATCGTAATTATTAATAGCAACGGATGTACATGTATACAATCATTTATAATCCATATGTGTTACGCATCATCAACACCACCCTTGTGTAATTGTCCCTTATTATGTTATCGCTATTAGCGAAGACACCCTCTTAAGGTATCTGTTCACACTTAGTAACAAATATGACACTGGTTATATTACCTTGTTGATCAAGTTGAGCATAATTGTTTATTATACAATAATTGTAATATCTATTTTAATAAAAAAAATACAGATTTTATGAATATTGTTTTCTTTTCTTTTTTTGTGTTTTATGTGCTATTTTAATACTGAGTTTTTACGTTTACTACTATTTTAAGAATTCAATTGTCATATTGACCGACGATTATAAGTCAAAACTTAACTGAAAAAAGTCAGTTAATTATGGTTAATCTTTCAATATATAAAATTGTTTATTCTTAAACCATATACATGTACATTTGTATTTTTCTTTATCATTTTTTAAATTATCAATCAATTGAATAATTCATAAAATCTAATTTGTAACTTTGAATAATTCCTCGGCATCTTTACTAAACACGAATAACAAATTAAATAAAATGTTTCAAAGTTGACAGTGTCATATTAATACCATAAAAATGTACCTTTTTTCTCAATTATTGTACATATTTATTGTTTTTATCTCATACAGATAAAATAAAACACACTATTGTTGTTGGTTTTTTTTCGAATTGTATGTTCATGCATAATAATAATAATCAATAAATGTGAGAGTTGATCTGTGTTTATTAATTATTGTAACCAAACTAAGTGACAAACATTCATTTTGGGAAAAAAAGCTTATTTATCTGTAAAATATTTGTTCTGTTCTGTAACGATATCAAATATCTACTCCAAAAACGGGAGAGACCGGACAATAAACGTGTGGTACTATTCACCGGTCACTAGTAAATCCCGGTCAAAATAGACCAGGAGAGACCGGGAATTACCGATAGGAGTACATCCCTCTATAAATAGATTTTCGGAATATTTAGGTCATCAACTCATCATTCTATTTACAGCTTTCAGATACATGTACATGTACAACAATAACATACCATAATAACCCACTGTGTACTACAAAATGATATTAAATAAAAATACCCCGAAAGCGCGATTTATTGACGGACAAGGTTATTTCATTTGAAAATGTTTGCATTGCGAAATTCTCCATTGTACATATCGCGAGATTTCATTTTTAATTATATAGGAAAATACATACAGATAGTCAGTATGATTTAGATTGCAAAGATCAGAAAATACCACAGAGCTTGCAGCCCTTTGATTTTAGTTAGAAGTTCTTAGGTCCGTATCCCTCCCTAAAGTTTATGTGTTGCGAAGCACTTAGTTCATTATAACTTAATGAACAAATGATAAAAAAGCATTGCATTAATGAAAAACAACAGCAAGAGTAAATCATAAGGATTTTCATATATTTATCTATAAAACAGTTAGAAAAAACAGGCAAAATGTTTGTGATATAAATAAACAAATTGATTATATAAACTTGAAAATAACTCAAACATTATAAGTTAAAGCAAAAGTTCATATATTTCGTCAGATTTATTTCAAAATGACAGATTTTTTGTATATATATTCTTTGAATTGATGTCTAGAATATAGTAAAGTTTAATAATATAAAGTTTTCTAGGCCTTTTGAAAAAGTGTCAATTATGTTTTATTATCTAATACCTCAACTCCGAGGTTATGAGAGTGGTTCGCCAGCAATCATCTTCAACCCTGATGCCCTCAAATAAGAAATTATTAAGCCCTGTTTCACTGATAAAAGGTATTTTTTACGGTATAGTGCAACTTTTACTTCTTTTGAAACTGTTTATTTTATCTATAATCGCAAACACTTCTTCAGTATTTATTTTCGATTTAAATGGATACTGTCATCTCCATCGTATGTTCATTTTTGAACTTATTTTTTAACTCTAGTATTCATGTATTCTAAAACGTAGCCTATAATTGAAACTCAAAATGGGAATAACGGATTTAAGGCAGTACAAAAAATGTCATTTAACCTCGTAAGTAGGCAAAAGAAATACTTTAAGGAACGTATGATTTTTTTTGTTTTTTTTTGTTTTTTTTTTTTATTATTGTTTTTTTTTTGTGAAACGTTACTTTTTATAACGTCTTCTTCACAGCTTTAATAACAGTATTCTAACGAGTGGCTGAAAATAACTTTAACTATATAGTAATCAATGTTTAGTTTCTTGCTTTTTTCCAAAATATAAAGTTGAATTTTTTTTAAGCCGATCCGATTAGATTACATTTTTTATATGAACTAAATGACATGTTATTAGTTATAACGTTGTAATATGTTATAAGATCTATATAAATGGTTGATTTCATATATAACCCGATGCGCTAGGCGAGGGTTATATTGTAAACAACTGAATATATACGGCCATATAGCCTGTCAAAAGTCTTTATAACGAATTTATAATATTGCAAACTTCCTTTCTTAGACAAAAAGAGAGATTTCTTCATAAATTGACAGCAGCCGAGTCTATTATTAGTTATAAAGATTTTTTGACAGGTTATATGGCCCTTTATAAACGGTTGTTTGTAAATATAACCCGAGCCACTAGGCGAGGGTTATATTGCAAACAACCGTTTCTATACGGTCATATAACCTGTCAGAAATATTTATAACGAATTTATAATACAGCAAGCATCATTTTAAGAGTAATATAGCGAGATTTCTTTATAAATTGTCAGCAGCTGTGTATATAAAACTATATTTTAAAAACGTCACGATAACCCAATGAAAAGTGACGTTACAAACGTGCAGTATTATAAAAAACTAAATAAACGTCACGACGATTAGCCGATAAAAAAACATTACAAATGTGCATTATTACAAACATTCATATTAAGAAACATACAGATATCAATTTCCATTTGAAAGAAACATTGGTGTTCTGTGACGTGCAGCCAGATTTCGCCATTATGGTCCCAGATTTTGTATCTTCATAAAGGAGAGGCTCACGGTCTAAAACAAATACATCGAATTATTTAACGTTTACATTTCTACATGGTTAAAAAATAATGTTTCTCAATTAAAGTTATTTTGTCAGATATTGAGTATTGAATATAAATAGAAATGACTTAATTATTCTGGTACAATTGTATGGTTGTGAACACTGCCACGATATAAAAATCAACTAAATGCAACAATGGGATGCGTCTTTTTTTCATGTACTTATACACTAAATTTGAAAAGATGAAATTTTGAAAGGATGTTAAACGAAAGCAATGAATTTATTTAAAGTATTCAGTCAATGCAGTAGGTCCTATTTTGCAATCATCGTGGATAAGGAACATAATAATTCTTACAGCTACCAATTGCTTTCAGTAAATGTTGCGAGACAAAGCAATAACAATTACTTACATATTGCATATATAAAGAAAACATAGGCCGTTATATTCAGTAAATAGATAATAATCATTACCTCTGATATTTACAATCTTTGACGCTATGTGAGATCCATCTGAACACACCAACTTTCGTCCATTGTCTTCTATGGTCGCTTTTATCATTGTCAAATTTAGGATACACTGATTCAAATCGAATGAAATTCTGTACTTGCCAGCATAGATAGGATTTAATTTACACCATTTTTGTTTGCATTCTGCTATTGTTGCCATATCATTTGCATTTTTCCAAACAATACAAAATGTGTCCGGCTTGAATTTGCAAGCTAATGTTAGATTTCGGCCACATTCAGATACAGTTTGCCTCGCAGTTTGCAGGATGAACACATCTGCGCCTAGTTTGAAAACACATATTATAATTTTAAGGTAAAGAGATTGTCAAAACGGTTGTTTGTGATTTTGTTTTTTCTCTCTTTTATTCGATACATGAAGTTAACAAAAACCAATTATCACGCCCGGCAAACTGTCGCTCCACTTCAAAATTGTAATGTACGGTAAACCGAGCGAACGGTATTTCCGAGATAGATCGGAAGGCCGATTTAAACGGCTAAATTAAGTTTTGTTTATGTTTTTATTTTGTTATTCATATTGTTAGCATATTGTGGCTCATTTTCTGTACATGTTATTTACCAGTTAACACATTTCAGGAAACAGTCTTAGACTCAATGTCTTGTCTGCAAGAAAGGAAAACGATTTTACAGTCTGAAATCTATAATATGTCTGCCCTATGCATGAGGGTGGGACGTGGCGGCATTCAGTACCTCTGTTATAAAAGGAGCCCTTTGCGCACAATTAGCGACAGTTTTAGAATATTTTTCTAAATGCTAAAAAGTGTGTCTTGTTTATGTTTATATTAATGTTTATAAATAATTAGCTGAAGCACGAATGGTGCTTTCTCGCAACATAGCTCAATTTCTACAGTAGTCTTGTCTAAACAGTTCGACTGCAAGACCAACCTTTTTTCTTAGAAACTGATGTTCTGTCTGTCTCTCGTTATGATTTACGAAGGGGGCTGTCGTGTAGATCAAAATTCCCCCTAGCCAACATATGTTTAAGCACAGCTGAGGCATAAAAAATGTCTGTACCTTTTTCGTAATTCAGGAGTTGTTGTTCGTTTAGTAATTGCGTCAACGAATATTATTTTCCTTCTCCGAGAGTATTCATCATCTAGTATTTGATTTAAATTTAATACGTCGATATTTTGACATACGCAAATTATACATGTTAAGCTATTCTTCCAGTTCAGTAACACGTAATCGTCCGTCCGGACATATGCAGGTTTGTTTGTTTGTTTGTTTCATTTTACGCCTTTTGCCAACAGTATTTCAGACATATGCAGGAGTAGCCAATAGTCACATGCTTACATCGTGGCTCTTAATTTAAACAGTTACCAATATCCTTATTCGCGCGGTGTATTTTACATGAAATGGATCGACAAAAACGGGGCGGAGTGAAGAAAAAGCCGGTAATAAATCACATGATTCGGTATCAATACCAGGAGTTATGGTAGAATTAGTGTAATAAAGAGTTATAAGTCGGATACTTTAAAAGGACTCTACTCAAGGTTATTGATATGACGGGACTGCAAATAATGTTCCGAAATTCATTTGTATACTACTTGTTGCAGGTCTGGAACAATTTCATGGATGCAAATGTTCAGATTTTTCCCGCACTCTGTTTATCCAAAAGAATATTTTTACTGCGTAAAATTACCCCCCAAAAATAAAAGAATTGCAACGATTTTTTATTCCAATCGAGGTAAGAATCACATAAAACATCAAATTTCAACTTAATTCTGAGTATTTAATTTTCATTTGCCGATTTTTCAGTTCTCAGTGTCTACTTGATCTAAGAAAAAAACTTCATATTTAGGTTTTAGTCTTTTTGATCAAATTGACAATATACTTCTGTTACTTTTGACATGTTAAGGTGTTGATGCATATTGCTTTACAATCAAATGGTGCTATTTCGATATAAAATTTCATATCTAGTTTAACGTAACACTTATCTATATAATAAACAGTATTTCTGATAAATGTTTCATTTACACTCCCTCCATAATCAATAATTGATAAATTGTACTAAATGCATCTTGGTCGCATTTTATACATAAACTATCCTCGAGTGACCAGTTTCGACGCCTATAAGGAATATTAATCCAGCGGTTTCTTAAAAAACATTTGTTCATTGAAATTACAACAGAACTGCATAAATTCAACATTCATTTAAAGAAATATATTACGATTCTGCTCTTCTTTTTGTATATTTTTCCTAATCTGGCATTGTGCTAACATGTATGTAAGCGGCCATGTTATTTGAGAGTGACCTGTAACGACGCCTCTGATTGGTTGCCTTCATATAGCTTTATAAACACCCTTTTGGAATGTGTACACGTTTTAAGTTGTACTTACGATGTCCACTGATATCAGCAATCTGGATCTACAAAGTAATAACTCATGAAATTGTTTTTTATCTTTAATTTACATTAAATATCATGAAATTCCAATGATCAAACATGTGTATTTACTCTTCTGGAGTACAGTGAACATTTACTCTTCTGTAGTACAGTGAATGCACAAAAACACATCACCCCTTCTTACCACTCTAACAGGTGTGCAATAAATTAAATGCACCCAGTGTCCACACTTAGTACACTGTACCCACTTAACAAACAAGAGAGAGGTACTCTGTCGTAGTTCTTGGGGTGTGAACAAGTTACAAACACAGCACACTTCTGTGTCCAGATCCTCTAGTGAAACATCACTGTCCATAACATCTGTGTCTTTGGGTTTACATGTTGTTGGTCTGGCAGTACCTGAAGTTCCTGGTTGTGGGTCAGATTTGTTTTTCAGAGATTTAGGATTCTTAGCATTTTCATGTTCCCTTAACTTGTCCACTATATATGCCCCGGTTATCTGTTTACCACTGACAACACTGCTAAGGTAACGGTGTTTCTTGGTGGATGGCTTTTTGAAGTGATGTTAGCTGCTTTTGTAGAGAAGAACTGTGATGACTCATTGGCTGGGGTACTTGAAATGTTTGCTACATCTGAGTTAGCTTCCTGTTGCAGAGCCTCTGAGGGTTTAAAGTTGGAAGGATCTATAATATGTGGATTGTATGGATATATGCCAGTCTTGCGGAAAGAAGCTTGTAGATTGGTGGGCGATAGTGCCTTAGAATAGGCTGAACATCCAAGTGCGCAAACATTGTATCGTGTGATACTTTGACCACAGTGCTCACGCATGAACTTGTGACACACAGTGTTGTAGACCCTCTCAAATGGTCCAAAACATCCTACATCAAGTGGTTGTAATACATGACTGGTATGGGCAGGAAGTATGAACAAGATGAGGTGCTGTGTCTTAGCCCAGTCAATCAAACCAAGATTTATGTGAGACTTATGTCCATCATAAAGTAAAAGTACAGGATCATCCTCAGAACGTTCAGGTAAGTATTTTATCAGATGATGTTCAATGTACCTCCGAAACACAGTGCTGTTGCTCCACCCACTCTCTGTGACGACACCATCCACTCCAGCACTTCCTCCATCCAACAGGTCAGGCCTCATTCTTGCCCCAGGAAACACAAAAAAGGGTGGTACACTATAGCCTAGGGCATTACCACAGCCTATCACAGTCACTAATGATCTTGAACCAGATGTGACTACCTGAGGCTTGAATTCACTTCCAGTAACAACTGATGGTGGTGTGTGAGAAGTGGACAAACCCTTTTCATCAATGTTATAAACTCTTTCTGGTCTTCCTTCAGTCTGTACTTGTCCAAGATGGAACCAAGTTCTCCATAATACTTGGAGACACAATCAACAGTTGTAGCCTTCGCACGCTGAATTTCCAATCCCCGTGATTTTAAGACTTTCAGTTCAGCCATCGTGACATGAATCCCCTGAACCATTTCAGCGAAAAGTGGATGTTCAGTGTCTCTCTTACCTAGACATACCCATATTCAGTTGCCATGTCCACAACCTCTGACCTGCTGTACCCATAACCACAGACAGACATGAACTTCAAATGTTCCACAAAATGTGCCTCTTGTTCTTGAGTAAACAAAGGTGATGGGCCAGATCTCACAGCTTCAGGGTCTACTCTACCAGAAAGTTTGTGTCTGAGGGAAGCTTCAGGAATGCCAAACTCCCTTGCAGTTGTCTTAATGGGAGCCCCAGTCAGCCTCACCTTCTCAAGTGCAGTGCCCATAGAGGTAGGAGAGTAGCACCTATACTTCCTTTGTGGAACCTGCAGTAAAGAAAAATAACGTTTACTATGATATTCAGCATAAGTTATACAGGCTACAGCTGTAACTATCCAATTAAATTTCAATTAACATACACTATTCAATTATACTGAATAAAATGATATAACGAGTACATGGTGCTTAACAGTGATAAATACACCATTGTCATGTGGTTAGTCACATGACTGTCACGTGACCTAATGAATGGGGCGAGTTGGTGTTGCAGACGGATAGTGAAAATTTTCCCACGCTCATTTTTGCGCAAATAAAAGCAAAATAAAGCACAACTTTTTTTTGCATTAGTAAAAATATAATAAAATTGATTGAAAAAGTATATTAATGTACTTTCTTACCTTTGCATCTCTTTTTTTCCACATAATTTTCGCAAGCGATAGAAATCCGTGTTTACTACAGTGTTTATATAGTAATGACGTCATTCAAGTCGCTTATGACAATATATTGAGCAAAACAAAAATGGCGTCGAAATAGGTCAGCGTAATTTCAGGGCACCCGACGATAGTATAGTCATATAACATTCACCTATTGATTGTTTTCTTATATAAATTCCTTATATATTTATATCAAATACCTAATGGCTATACCATATCTACTTGTATTAATTTACTCGAATTCCTACGTGGTATGGGATCTAATTGACTGATACACACAGAAATACCAACACATTTTCAAAATATTAGTACGTTTTTGTTTTATTTTATTTTTTTACAAAAAGCAAATGCAAATGCTTCACTCTTTTTTTCAATCAATTTGTGCCTTTTGAATTAATGTAGCACACCAATAATGGACGTTATTAGGAACTGTAAACTTGACAACATAGGGCAGTTATATGCCTTAAATGTCACCTGTATGCAAAATTTAAACAACATTTACTGTGTGGTTTATGAGTTATGCACATTTTTCTAAACTAAAATTTTGTCATCAGAAGGTTTTTTTTTAGAAATGGTGTAAATCTGAATAATCTATGATATCATCATTATGAAAAATGTTTTCCAATTCCTCATTGTTAATAAACAAATAATGGCATTCAGGTAACAAAGTGATCAAGCGAAATAGTTGTTTCTAAACGAAATGTATTAAATATGTATATAAATGTAACCCTACTCCACCCACTTTAAACAATTATTTGACCATTACCCTTTGTAAAAAGCTTCACTCAAAATAACCCTAAAATTTACCACAATAAGGCACTGTTTTCAAAGTTTGCCACATTTTTTTAAAATGTATATTGGTTGGTCTTGCAAAATAAAAAATACTTTTAACGTGTAGTTTTTATTTTATAAAATTTTGAAAATATCTGGTATCATTTTTGCTATTAAATTTGGCATTATTTCGCAAATAAATACCAACAATAATTATATAATTAAAATCAAACATTTTTTTCTTCTATAAGGGATCTCATAGATACATAAAAATGTTAAAAAAAGAAAGGTTGGCCCTCCTAGGGTTTGAACCCGCGCCCCTAACTTACAATGCACTTGACAGTGATTCTAGCCTATTCGAATACCCTTTAAAGTGGAGATAATGCATTAGAAGTGTACTACTCTAAGACAAACACAAACTTTATATTGATTTTTGTTTCAATATTTTGCCAGTTTGTAAAATGTGAAAATATGTTTACCGAGAATATAGTTAAAAAAATTAACAAAGATGATCTATATGCTGAAAATTTTTGCTATTGGTTCAGACATTCTATTCTATGAATTTAAAGACGTAAATGTAATTTAAATATTTTAAGGTAAATTGTCAAAGCAATCTTTGAAACAATACGTTAGTGTTATAAATGGCTATGCATTTCTAAGAGAATTGTTTGTAAATTGTATTGCCAGGAACATAATAGCTCAAAGGCCGAAACATTATATCTCAATGATTTGCGTGCATGATAAAGAAAAATCTATTTAAGATTACTCACAGCTAAACCTGTATATAATTATAAGATGGTGTTATTATTTTGATCCAGTCTGCAATGCCGGCCTGCCTATGAAATCTAGCAAAGCATAATTAATCAAAGATACGAAATTTATTTTCACATCTATGTCATAGGCCTATTGAACATTTACAAAATTTACACATTTAGTAGTGCATTTCACCTAAAATTGAAAGGTACGTCCACTGAAAAAATTCTTACTACTGAAAAAATAATGCATCATTAAATTCCGAATACTGAAAAGGGTGCATCCATTGAAAAAAATTATTACCACGGAAAGGTTATACATTACATAAATCTTAATGAGACGGGTACTGTAAAGCATTCTTACATAGAACTATATCAGTATATACGTTGCATTCCGAGATAAAATGAAAATTACAATTATAACATTTCGATATTTATTGTATAAGAAAGTTATATGATGTTTACCTGTCCCCATTAGATGCGATAAACTTGATGTCACTAACAACACAAAGCGGATGTTCATTTGCTGAAATAAATAATAACGGGTCATAACTAATTTAATGTATAGTGATTCGTAACCTTATATGTGAGCGGGGTTCTTAAGTCAAGTGGTTGCACTACTTGAATTGTCTGTTTTCCTGACCTGTCTGTCAGGTCATTATTCTATTTAAAGATTAAAGATTCATGACATGTTTTCAAACCATGCCTTTTGTCTGTACAAATTTCAAATGTATATATTATTGTGTAGAATCGTTGAAAAAAATTAAAATGTACATTCCTAATGGTTTTAAGCAGTGCAATATTCTGTTTCAGCCAAGGGCTTCTTTTTCGTTGTTCAAACAACTAATGAAACTACACCGTCTAGGTTAAACAAATACTGCAAACATGGATTTTTTAGAACCTTAGACGTAGCATGATAACGCTGAACTTTCTATTTTAGTTGTAAATGAAATGATGTACAATTTGTTGATTCTTGTGATTACAACAGCTTTGGTTTTGATTGTAATGCCTTAAATTAAGTTAAATGATTTTAATTATTTAGTTTTCATATAACTATAAACTCTCGGAATTTATGGAACTACACATCCACCGCTAAACTGTTTCAATTATAAATGAAAATCTTTTGTGAATCTCTTTTTGCTTGCATGAATTTAAGCTCATACGATCAGTGATAAATATGTCTTTATTCAAATAATCAACTGAAACTTTGACTTTAAAGCACAATCAATGTTAAAATCGTCTCTTTGAAACTATGGTTTATTTTAGTGTAGTCGCTGCTTATACAATCGGTCACTGTGGATTTGAAAAAAAGGCTGAACAACACCGACATTCCTATTGTGATATAAATAGGTTTCATCTTTCACGTGTTTTGTTTTGATATTAAATAAAATTAACACAATTTGCAACAAATTTAATCAATATATTCAATTGTTTATAGATGTACCCAAACGTTTATAACGTCGTTGTATCTAAATTGAAACACGAAATAAAAGATCACAGGCTTCTTTTGATTCGGTCAGTCACAGATGGAAGTATTTAATTACAGCACTGGTCTTAGTAGAACTATCATTTATATATTATAATGTGTTCTGTTTTATTTCGGAACATCTACATAATTTATATCTTTAAAATGCAGTTATGATTGACCTTTATGTGATAGTTTGACGGCTTTTAAATTCTACATTTATTAACGATTATGACTAGATGTTATAAGCATGTGCTATTTGGACATATTTGGCACTTTTTAAAAGAAAATAGAAATTCGAGCATAAAACGATTTCATTTTTAAAACAGGAACAGAAAAAAAATAAAATGATGAAGATGTAATTATTTGAAAAGAAAATGCGGACACAATAAAAAATCGTCTACACATCCTAAAAATATCCTTAATCTTCCACAGCGTAATGAAAGCTATATGTTATATTTTTTCGAAAAGCTCATTATTTATGGTAAAGAAGAGAACGTATAAATCCGAAAGTCGCTTATACGCGTCATTCCTGCAGGTTTTCTATATTTTGTTATGACGTCCTGCTATTGAGGCTACATTTTCGAACCACGTGACACTGTGCTCTGTCGTGTGTGTTTATGTTATACAACACTTCATCACACTTTTCTCAGGTTGAACAACCTTCGTGTTTGTTTGTTTGTTTCATTTTACGCCTTTTTCCAACAGTATTTCAGTCAAATAGGCGGGTAGTTTTCTAACCATCGTTCCTCGAGAGTTACACCAGTACTAGTCTACCTTCCTCCGCGCTAAACTACCAAAGCATATCCCGGGAATCGAACCCATGACAGAGAGGTAACTGGATTAGAAGTCATCGACTCTAACCCCTCGACCACGAACCTTCGTAAAGTGCACTAAGACCAAGAAATTTAACTTCGGGATTTGCTTCCATATGGAAATGATTGCATAACTTGCAGAGACTGTTTTATTGTCAATGAGTCTAACATGACAAATAATGACGTTAAAGTTTTGTTGGTTAGGTTTTACGACGCACTTACACAGTAATTATCATATATTCAATATTCAAGCTTTGCAAATGGAGGAAGATGTCAGGTCCTCTGCATTATTTCAGGTACAAAGGTGATACTAAGTGTCAGGAGAATGACTGCTTTGATGTTATTTAATCTTAGGATAGATTTAGTAATTAAAACTAGAAGGCATTTTCCAAGAGTTTGAGGTTGGGCAGCACATAAAATTGAAATATTCTTAGTTGGAAAGCTAGCAAGTAATTGTTTAGTTAACACTATTTAAGGTATTCTTACTTTTTCCATCTCAAATCCACACATGCATTTACACAGCACACTCTAATTATTATTTGCACCCCCCCCCCAAAAAAAAACCAACAAAAAAAACCCCAAAAAACTCAGATCATTATTTACATCCAGAACAAACACAGACCATTAACAAACCACTTATACAAAATATATTTTCACGTAAACGTCTTTTATTCCAGACACCTGACGAGTTCAAGCTCTAAAGAACTAATAAGATCACAACAAAAATGTAGAACAAAATGACTTTTTTACAACTCTAAGAAACAGTATAAATCACAGACATTTAACCAACAATATTAACTTCACAAAATTAGAAAACAAGTTAAACTAAAACACCAAATATTTACAGATATCTTCGAAAACAAAGCATCAACTAATATAATCTTGACAAGACAAATCACTCAATACAACTCAACAAATATCAACCAAATATATCTAACATACAGACTTTTTTTGTGGGGCCCACATAATTTCTTGTGGGAGGAACGCTCCACAGTATTTTTCGTGGGAAAGTCATCCCACAGTGTTTTTTGTGGGTTCCACAGATTTCCTTGTGGAAGAAAGAAAAAATAAGTTTAGAATACATAAAACAATACAACACACCTCAAATTTACGTTTTCTGCTAGGAATAAGTTGATGCATCATAAAATGTTGAGATTAAACTTTATCACATAAAGTACAGCATCCAGGGTTGCTATGCAAGTGCTGCTCGTCGTGTTTACAATATATAAAAATAGTAACAAAATGGCCGCCTGCAAGAGGACAGGTGTACTCACAGTGCTGTTAAAAACAATGACAAAAAATAAAGGGATTAAGTGATTAATAAAGTGGTTTCGCTCGGTGGTAAGACATTTCTAGGATTTCTTTATCAAAAACAATTAACAATTTAACGCTAGCTTGTCTGAGAAAGATAAGCAGAGATGTTTACATATTTCGCGAAAACTGTATACATTCGAGGCTGACATTTAAAGTTCCAGTCCAAGAAACCAGTTACAGTATGAAAATAAACAGACAGCAGATATCTAAATAGACAAACATTCATTATGCATTTATGACAGCCTCTGTATGTTGAATTATGTATGATGAGAAACTCTCATCATCCTCATAAAAAATATTACTGTGAATAAACATTGAATACAAGAGAGTAAATAGATAAATTAAACAAAGTGTGGATATTACATTACAACAGTACAGATCAAGGTAAGTATAAGAGATGTGACCCTGGGATATTACATTACCCCCTCGCTCTTATGGCAAACTCCTGTTGCCATTACATGCAACTATTGGCTTACTGGTCACTGTAAGTGTCATATGATTTTAAACTATTTTCTGTTTCAGTTAACAATACAATTGGTAAAGTATGAAAATTCTTATTAAATGTCAATTATATAAATGTATCGCTATGAACATTATACAAGAAGAATTAAGCGAATATAGTAATAACTTAACAGTGCGGTAAGAGACAGAGTAAGCAATTTTCTAATCTTAAATTACATAGAAATTTTTAAATATCAATTGGAGAGACATCAAAGTAATCAAATATCACTTTGTGCTTAAACATTAGATTCAAAATTCTTAAAAATGAACACTTGACTAGAGTAGATAATCATTAAACAATTAATGAATCAGTCTAAATTTTAAACAATGTCTTAAAATTATTAAACTTAACAATTAATTTACATTAAATACATAATTACAAATATTAATTTCTTCTATATGAGCTGTTCTTTTTGCTGACCACGGACTTCAGGGCTCTGTCATTCTCTTTGTCCTCGTCTTCCCTCGCTCGCTTGTTGCTTTGATTCCCTGTCGATTCGCGACTGCGCGCCAAGCGTCTCTGCTCATCTGTGAGTCTGTCAACCGCTCTTGTTACCTGCGAAACTGTTGTCCCCAAGGCGTCAATAGACTGTTGAACGTGGCGTGTGGCCCGTGCCACCGACTCGACCGCAAAAATCATCTTCCCCATGGCTACCTCCATCGTCTTCTCAAAGTGCCCCAGGACTGCATTGAGGGGAGCCAAAGAATCGACCCTTGGAGTTGGAGCTGCCTCTGGTTCCGTCTGTGTCGCCTGTGTCACTGTCATCCTAGGTGGTTCCTGCTGGATGACCTGGGTCTGTGCAGGTTGGGGAGAGAATATCATGTTCTCATCCGCAGGGTCACCAAGCAACTGGGGCATGATATTCTCATCCAGTTGTTGGAAGTCCTGCGACTAAACACGTCAGGCGTCGTAAGTGGCGAAAAAGCTGACCTGTTGGATAGGGCTGGCGTGTGGGACCTACTTCTATTTACTGGCAGGTCAGGAATTCGCAGCTGCGGTGACTTTGGCACTATGGGTGTCGGCCTGTAAGTTGCTGACTCAGTTTCAGCAGTTGGCGTCGTTTGCTGTAGAGGCCTACCAGTTCCTGCACCAGTTGAGGTTGATGGCGCGTCAAGCAAACTGCTAATGAAGGCATTAGTCTCAGACTCCGTCATACCTGGCCTAGAAGGGTCATATTGAAGGGCAGGCGGCACTGCTGGTGTTTGGGGCTTCTGGCTGGCGTTGTTGGCTGACAGGAGTGAGGCCAATACTGCTGGTGACAACCTCACTGTGACCAACTCTTCCGTTCCACCCTGCTCGGAGGTGCCTGTCGCTTGGCTCTGTGTCGGCTGAGATGGACCTGACTGCTCCTGCTCTTCAGGTACCGCACGATAATCAACGCCCTCCTCAATGGTCTTGGCATTGGGGTTGTGCACAAGATAGCGAGACGCATCACCTTGAAACTCAGCCATAGCCGCCATGGTTGCGTGCCTCTTATAGCTGGTCACGTGCCTGTTGAGCTGGTCTTGACTAGTGCACCTAAACATACACAGGTTGCAGTAGTACGGCGTCTGGTCAAGTGCCATATGGTGCTTCATTACGTGGTCTATGACCCGATAACGCTCGCCAACACACCCGGACCCAGGCCCTCCACAGTGAGCGCACGAAAACATCTTCCTCTTAGGTGTTCTGTTGTCCATGACTTCCTGAAACGATAAGAGGAGGGGATGATAAGTACTTGCCCTTATCACCTACTTCAGGGAATTGACAGAAAATGGTACTCGGCACGCCAACATCGACAAAAAATTTCGCACGGTTTTCTCGGTACGTTTACCACGTCGCATCAAACTTAACTCTCGGTCGATTTCTAACGTTTCTCGTTTAAGCGCAAGGAAATGATGACAAAAGACAATGACAATTCTGTTTATTTATTGTGTTATACGTTTTGCAATTTTACGGGCCCACTTTGGCACGTTGGTCCCATTATACATTTTCAACTTATCATGATGTATTAACACAGAGTGCCCCTCAGGGTTCATTTGCACCACAAAATTTATTGGTGACATTTTCTTTACAATGATGTAAGGTCCATCGTACCTTTTCTCGAGTTTCGGAGATATACCGACAGTTCTCGACTCATGCAACAACCAAACAATGTCGCCTACTTTGTAGTTTACGAACGACATTTTAGTATCGTACAGGTCCTTGCTACGCTTTGCGCTAGCCTTGAGATGTTTTCTCGCAACTTCATGGGCTCGAAACATACGTTCTTGGATTGCTTCCACAACTGGGCGATACGATGGCACACTATTATCTTCTTTTGTCTTGTACACCAGATCACCAGGAAGTCTCACCTCTCGACCCATGCACATCATGTTCGGCGTGAGTTTGGTGGTCTCATTTGGGGAAGACCTGTATGCCCCTGCTATACATCCAAGGAAGAGGTCCCATTCAGTTTGGTCGATAAGATAGGCCTTTATCATCTTCAGTAACGTCTTATTGTATCGTTCAATTTGACCATTACATTTTGGATTTCTGGGACTCGTGCGGCTCTTTTTAACCTGAAATAAAGAACACAGTTCTTTAAAAACATTACTCTCAAAGGTCGAACCTTGATCAGTGTGGATTTTTAATGGTGTCCCCCAGCGTGAGACAAACTCATTAGCGATTCTCAATGCACAATCTTCAGCCAGTTGATTAGGGACAGCCAAGACTTCAACATATTTTGTAAAATGGTCAGTTAAGACCATTATATACTTATTTCCATTTTCAGTCATAGGCAAAGGACCAAGATAATCAATAGCGAGCGTATCCCATGGAGCACCGCTTTGTAAGTGTCCCATTGGACCCCTTGGAGGCTTCTGCATTGCCTTGTCGGATTCGCACGCATCACAGGTCTTGACAAACAAGTTAACATCGCCTTTTAGCCCATACCAGTTGAAGTTTGACTGTATTCTATGTTTCGTCTTCTTGGTACCTAAATGGCCTGCAAGGATACTATCATGCATATGACTCAAGAAGTCCTTTTTCAAACACTGCGGTACAACTACTTGCTCATAACTGTCCGTCCCATTCTTCTTTTTAAATTGCTCATATAACACCTTGTCCCTGATAAAAAGTGAGTCCCATAGTACCCAGTACTGTCTGGTTGCTGGACTTTCTCTTTCCATATCTGAACCAAGCGGTTTTGCCTCACTCTCTAATGCTCGCACAATTGGAGCTATATCTGGGTCCTCCCTCTGTTTTTCTGACATCTCTTTGCATGAAAACATCTTAAAATTGATAAATACAGAATCCCTAAAGAAAGCCCAACACGGCAAAATTGAAAATGTTGCAGGCTCGGTTTGATTGAGCCTGTTCATGGACGGTACTGGAAAGTGCAAATTACCGTCCACGCCCCCTCGCACCGGCTTAAGCAGAATTCAACATTTAAACGTGAAATAGTAAAATTTTGAATTTAGAAACATCCGCAGATGTGTTCATACGGCGGTTATCATGGAACCTCCAATGTGACACTTCCGTGCCATTCCATGAAAAGCGGCGTATGGTCCCCAAGTAAAAAAAAGCGTGTGCCCTAAACGAGAAAACAATGGGCGGAACTAAATAAAATGGAATTTTGAAAGGGGATCAGAGGTTATGAAGCCTGCGTATCACAGATAAGACGTCAAAAGACAAATTTAAAAAGCAGGTAACATATCCTAAGGGTGATTGAACATTATTCAAGTAGGAATATTGGAACCACCCATATAGAAAATGCCGAAAAGTTGAAACTTTAGCCACGGGGTTT